CTCCGTGTTCTCCACTGCCTCAGCCACTCCATCCTCAGAAGGGGTGAGGGGGGGGGGGGGGGGGGAGAAGGCCAAAGGAGGAATGGGATTATAGTATCGAGAGATGAGAGTAGGTATTAAAAGGATAGAAGTGGGAGCATTAGGTGCCTTCTGTTGAGTTATAGGGGCCTTGCGGAGCAGCTCCCACAAAAGCCTGGTCTCCTTAATGAGGCAGGAAACAAACTGAGGAAAGTGGCTGACTCTGGCCCAGGAGACAGGAAGCTGGAAGAATTTCAGTCCTGCCTCCTTGATGGACGGGAATCACCCATGTCATGATGCCCCCCCCCCAGCGAGAGAACGTGGGGACATAAAGTTAAATAAATGAATGTTTGCTTTGCTCGTCAGTGCGATATTATGGTCCTGAGGCTTTATGCACAAATTAGAACTCTGAGGTACAGTAAGGAGATCTAGAGTTATTCCTACCACCTAGGCTATCTGTGACAGCAGCCATGCTCCTTGGGAGGAAAGCGATGGTGAACCTAAACAGCATGATAAAAAGTAGAGACATCACCCTGCCAACAAAAGTCCGCATGGTCAAAGCAATGGTATTCCCAGTAGTCATGTATGGCTGCGAGAGGTGGACTATAAGGAAGGTGCTGGAGAAGACTCTTGAGAGTCCCTTGGACTGTAAGAAGATCAAATCAGTCAATCCTAAAAGAAATCAACCCTGACTGTTCCCTGGAAGGCCAGATAATGAAACTGAAGCTCAAAGACTTTGGCCACCAAATGAGAAGGGAGCACTCACTGGAGAAGACCCGGATGCTGGGAAAGACTGAAGGTCAAAGAAGACGGGGACGGCAAAGGATGAGATAGTTAGACAGTGTCATAGATGCAACGAACATGAAATTGAGCCAACTTCAGAGGACGGCAGAAGACAGGAAGGCCTGGCGGGATCTGGTCCTTGGGGTTGCGAAGAGTCGAACTCGACTGTGCGACTGAACAACAACAAAAATCTGTGAGCATTTGGTCAATAATGAGGTCAGGTACTTTACTCATTCAGTGGCACCACTTCAATAGGGGGGGGGGAACAATCTTCCCTCTCCCATTCCGATCACATATAACTAGTCCTCAGGAGCCGCCTACAACTCCAGCCAGGGCCCTGCATTAAGCAATTATGGGACAAGCCTTGCTGTCTGGCACTTTTCCAGGAAAATGTGGTTAATCAGCATATGAGATAACTGGGTTGGCTTGTGGGGTCAATGGGTGGACCAAGGAGATAGCAAAATGCCATGGTGGCTGGAGGAACAAAGCTAACTGGGCCGGGAGTGGAGGGGGATTGGGACAGGGAGGCAGAGAGAGGAGAGGCAAGCCAGTGGCAGAGACAGCAGGGCCCTGGAACAGTGAAGTCACGCGGGAGACCGGAAGGGTCGAGGCTGGGAGGAAGCCTCAAAATAAATGTGCATGGTGCAAACCTCAAGTAACCGACATATCTGATTATCCAGCAACTCCCGTTCCCCATGAGCAGCAGATAACAAAGCTTGTACTGTATTATTTAAAATAATTCAGGGGTCAAACCACCAGGCATGCAAGACAAAGACGCAAGAAACTCTAGCAAAAAAACCCAAACCCATTGGCCCATTGACACTGCTAAATCTTCCCTCCAACTCTTTACTGAAAGTCTCTTAACTTCTACCCACTTAGAGCTCAAAGGGTCCCCTTACAGACCCTGCAATCTTCTGCAGTTCATTACAAGAAAGTTTATACAATATTCAGAGAGAAGAAAACACATCAGGCGAAATACAGAAATACATAAGAACATAAGAGAAGCCACGTCGGATCAGGCCAATGGTCTATCCAGTCCAACACTCTGTGTCACACACTGGCCAAAACCCAGGTGCTACCAGGAGAAGCAGGAGATCCACCAGAGGGCAAGAACTCCAGAACCCCTCCCACTGTTGCCGCCCCCCCCCCCCGCCCTAAGAACCAAGAATATAGAATATCACTGCCCCAGACTTCAGAACATAAGAGAAGCCATCTTGGTACGGGATAACAGCCCATCAGGAGGTCCTCCCTCTGGGGCCCATGAAGCACCAAGTACACTGCAACTAACCTCATGCTTAGCAACAACTGATTTGGACACCCTAGCTTTCAGACCAGGTTCTAGCATAACCCTACCCAATAAGTGTATTGGAACAAAAACAAGCAAAACATATAAATAAGTCGCATTTCCACTATCAAAGATTGGTCCTGGGCGCCAGCTCAAGACAGGCTGGTGGTCTTATTATGAGACTCTGAAATCGGTGG